CAACCACCCAAAGAACAAGGGAAAGCCTCACAGCTTGTATTGTTCCTCTGATCTCCATAGTTCCCCTCAGCAATGACCTGCAGCCCACCTCACTGACCCTTGTCCAGCTAAACTCACCCACTTACGCATGCACCATGGAAACTCCACAAAAACACACGTACTATTGTTGAGTTCAGTCACAATGCAAAAATATACATTGTTTTTCAAGAACTGAACCGATTTCCAAAGGTATATGTCACAAGAAGATATTACATGCCTTTAACCGTTGGTGTTTGATGGCTGTTTTTTTCCCTCACTTTGTTCTGACAAAGGGATAAGATGTCACATATGAAGTATTAAAGCATGATCTTCCAACTACATTATCTCCTCCATGACAAACAAGTGTTGATGGCTGATTTTGATCACCAAAAAAGGTATTTCTTCCATCAATTTTCAATACATCAAATGGAACACACTAAATGCAAAATCTATGTTTCATTAGTTGCAATACAACTGAAAAATGTGGTGCTTTATCCAGTAACCTGTGCCTGCAAGTTCCTAACCAGCACAAATCAACTCACCTGCAGTGCTCCACTGTGGCTTTGCAAGTGATACAACATGGTCTGTTTGGTTTTATGTTCTTAAACGTTTTGTAATCCAGTAGATGTCTAAGTATAGAATCTAAGTAGTGGTAAGTTAGTAGGAATTGTGTACCTGTACCCCAACACAACTAAGCCTGCCTGATAAAATGCATCAAACAAACACATAAAGATAACAAATGACTGATCAGCTGCACTGGATTGTCACTGCAAGTTAAGAGAGGAAATTACCATTGTCAATAGTCAGCTACTTTGGTTCTACTCTTTACTGGAAACTAAATAAAACAACAGGGATGTACAATGTAGGTGTATATCACCACAAAGGAGCAGTTTAGCTGACTAGAATGACAAGAAATCAATCTTAACCTACAGACAGGACAGATAAGGTGGAGTCACTGAGCTGTGACTTGTCGTGCCATCAGTCAGTCGTTCCTTTGAGTGACAAAAATGACTCAAATTGGTCTGACACAAAATTAGGCTGATAGTTCAAAAGGGTTCAGAGTCTGTAGTAAGACTACACTGTATAGATGTAAGCCAGCTGACATTCCTTTAAACACAAAATGTGCTTTCTGGGCAAAGAAAGAAATCTGCCTACCTTGGCAGTGACTTCAATGCTGCCTGGCTACTGTCCAAAAAATGGGCTGGATCAACCTCAGCCACAACAACTCATGAATTGTCAGGGACCAAAGCGCTGATGTCTACAAACTCAACATTTTGTCAAAGATAAATAAAGTTTTTTCTCTGGGTCCACACTTTCCGATTTTTATACTTTATCTTATATCTCTTTCGTTTTAACTTTAATCTTCCTTTTCTATGGACAATATGTCTGAAATAAAGTAAAAGAACACTATATTGAATTTGTTCTGAATGTATTAACTAGTGTTGGATAATCCAATGAATTAGTTTACTTAGGAGAATTTCTCCTCTCACTACTTCCCACCCCGAAGAAACCATCTGAGCACCACAGAGCCACTTCATCTTAACTTCTGCAAAGCCCCACTGTTTTTTAAAGTCTTGCAGTCTGTGGGAAGCTGTGGGTTACAGAGCAGATGTGCTGCGGGCACAAAGAATACACACACACCTCTGGCCCAGTGTGAACTCACCCTTCTGCTGACACTGATAGGAAGGAATACACCTCTAGCTTTGGGATACCAACATGGTGAGAGAGAGAGAGAGAGAGAGAGAGAGAGAGAGAGAGAGAGAGAGAGAGCTGTGAAAGCATGGCACATCTGAGCAATAGTGTGTCAACAGAGAATGAGATTAGTAGTGCTATCCCTAGGCGTTCGCTCAGCTGGTGTGTGTGTGTGAGTGTGAGCGTGCTCACTCCTGGCTCTCATGTATCCGTGTGTGTTCTCAGCGAGGGGTTTTTGGCTTCTTTGACTGACATAGACAGAGAGTTTAGGGAGTCCCTCTCCCGCCCACAGCACTGCTAAGAAGCCCTAAAGCTCCTTAGCCCAAGCTCTGCCACTTGTTCGATGAAAGAACATCTATCTGTGGAGATGAAACAATAAAAAAATCCAACCCACTGTCGCCCAGCATGGCTCAATCTCAAGCAGACATGCAAGTGTTATTGAAAGCTCACACACCCCTTCGCAGATTCTGTCTTTTTCTAGCTTTGTTTTGTCTTTGTAGTGGATTATTTGGTTTGGTAAGAAACTGAACACCTTTATCCCTTTAAGCAATCAACTTAGCACACACACTTGTGCACAAACACACTCATGCTGTGTGGGCCAACAAAGGCATTTACAGGTTCAGAGCAGCCTTAGGAGGAGTCGGTGGATGTGAAAGTCTGGAGAATATGAGCCACATGGGAGCACCGGGCGTTCGGCCAGTCAGAGACAGAGCACAGACTGGCATCGACTGGCACCGGCCAACTTCACACATACACACACACCATGCACATTACTGCTCATCTCAGCTCGCGACAAGTGAGATAACAACCTGCAACACACTGCTCTAGACACGCGAGACACACGGGACACACATCACTACAATGTTTGTGTGAAGGAATTGTGTTGTGTGCCATGTGGTCTGTTCCGCGTTGTTTCTTAGCTGACAGCTATCTTTAGAATAACAAATTAGAATAATTACCATTATGGCCATCACACAAACTCAGAAAACACAACCAGAGCAGTGTGACTTTATTCAGTGTGTGTGTGTGTGTGTTGATGGTGGGAGATAGGGCATAGCATGTTTAGTTGTTCAGAGTGAAGCAAGCGTTCTGTGCTTTTCTCTGTATAAGAGCAGCCATCCCAAGATGCTCACTGGAGTGGCTACAGATTCTGGGTGGGCCAAGTGCGCGCGTGTGTGTTTCTGTGCTTCAATACACTTTCCATCAGATTAGGCTGCAAAGCCTGTCCTATACAGTTCTACCTGAGGCTTGGTCCCTAATGGTCTGATTTCCACTGCAGGACCAAAGTGGGCTACTTTACTATTCATGTTTACCCTAGAAAATGTTTGTTCATTTTTGTTTTTCCTTCTGTATTTGAACAGAGATGCATGTTAACATGCTGATGTTTAGCATGTATAATGTGTATATATAATAATATATATAATTCATACTAACATTTGGTGATTAGCACTAAGTACAACCGAGCTGATGGTAATGTCATTATTTTTGCAGGTTTTCTTTTTATTTGTTCACATATCGAAGTTTTGGACAAATTGACTTTGACAATCACCAAATATCCAGTAATTGCTGCTACATAGCTCCACAAAAGTGATCCATCCTCTGGGAACCATCAATGTCGGTATCAGATTTTATGGCAATCAATCCAGTTCAGACTACAGTGGTGAACCGACTGACGGACCAACATTGCTATCCCCAATTCAAAACAAATGAGTAATTTTAATGTTGTTAGTGCAATGCAAGCCTTTTAACTCTGCTCTAGCTTATTTTAGTATGGTAACTCTAATTAATGGACTACAAGCTCTTCTATGTGTTCAGCAAATTCTTTGAGACTTGGGATTACAAAACCTTCTCAGATCGCTCTGGATAACCTTAAAAATGTATGTGCGGTGAGCTAAAAAAAACCAATCTGCTTGTTTTCATTTCCTGAAAAGCTGACATTTCATGGATACACGGTTCAAATCAGATAGTGTCTATTTGCAAATAACACATCATGGTATCATTACAGTGAATGCCTCTAACAGCCAACAGCATGTGAGCTGGTATGACTCACCTCCCTGCACCTCCAAGGAAATCACACGGACACACACACACAAACATAAACACCCACACAGCAGGGGACTGTACACTAATGCAGGTCAGCCATATCTTGGAGGATAGTGTGTGCGTATGTGTGTGTGTGTGAATAGCAATTTGCCCTTTAACCTGAGCATGGATGGAGAGTTCTTAATGTCAGTGAATGCAGCACAAAACACACGCGCAGACAATGTGACACCCTGTAAACATGCCCCATGTAACAAGAACGCTTTGCCTTTTTAATGTTGTGTAGCTGCGGTTAGCCAACCAACCATGGCCAATGCTCTGTGGCAGGCAGGCAGAGCAGTGACCAAGACTAACTGTGAATACATGCAGACCATAAAAAAGCAGAGACAGAGACAGAAAAGGGAGGTTTTGCATTAGAGAGAGAGAGAGGTGTAGGAAAGGAGGGATAGCAAGCGAAGCAAAGCTGCAGAGTAAATGCATGCAGATCGCTAAGAAGCAACCATGCAAAAGTTGCATGACCACTCTAAACAAACTGTATTTCTTCTCTGCTCCATCCACTGTCTGGTTACATTCTACAGTATGTGTGTATTGTAACCATATGCATATGTGCAGGTCTGAACCCAGCTGAAAGACATTAGTCAGGCCAGAAGGGAATTCTACTGAAACCTGGCCCAGCTAACGAAATGCTTTGGAAAAGGGATCAACCGGTATAGAAGAGATGTAAAAGACAAACAGGCAGGCAGACAGAGAGAAAAATAAAAATAAAAATACGTGCACAAATATGTATGTGCATGCCTCGCTTTCAGCATCTGATTACCACAGAGATGCAGTAGATCCCAAAGCTCAGGGGGAAAAAATAAACATCAGCATAAAGAGAGAAAAAGATGATAAAAACTGGAGTCATCACAGCATGGCTGGAATGTATAGACATGTGTGCTGGTTTGAAAATGTAAATTCAGATACAAAAATGTTGTCAGAGAGAAGAGAAAAATGGAAAAACTGAGCAACAGATATTTGGAAATTAGAATACAAATGAAAAAGGAGACAGCAAAAAGAATAAATTAATATGATAAATGAATGAACTCACAGAGGATACCTTAAGAAAACAGAGTAGGATACGAGAGGATGACGAAGGAGGAACGCAAGAAATGAACTTCATAAACAGCTGAGAAAGGAAGAATGAGAGCAAAACAGTAAAATACAGAGGAGGAAATTTTAAAAAGTGCAGACTACATCTAATCTTCCCTTACCTCCGCAGCTGCGTGTGGTATCCTTTGGGACAAAAAACGTAGTGGAGGGGAAAACTTCAGCTTCAACAGCACTGCTACAGATCCCCACTTTCTAGTTCTTTCCAAGGTAATGCACATATATCTGTATCTATCAGCCCAAACGTAAAACTCTTCAGTCCACTAGGACAGTAGTCTGTCTACCTGCGTGGGTTTGTGTAAATGTATCCTAGATGGTGATGAATAGTGGTGAGTGAAAGGAGAATACTACGCTAGAGGGCAGACAGACTGACTGAAACAGGAGAGCAAGGAGAGTAGACTGAGTAGGATGGAAGAGTAACTGGTTCCCAACATCAGAGCGGCTGGGCTGGATACACCCACCTCCTCAGCATGCATCAAATGGGAGTCGCTCAGATGCTACCAAGTATGCAGAGAGAGAGAGAGAGAGAGAGAGAGAGAGAGAGAGAGAGAGAGAGAGAGAGAGAGAGAGAAATCCTGTTTGCAGCCTGAGATCTGATCTGATCTGTTATATGCACATATGCAAGCGAGGTTATGCACACATGCATACACTGATAAAGGATCTAATTAACCCCCTTTTACTCACCCACACATACACACACACACACACACACACACACACACACACACACACACACACACACACACAAAGCTCTGAACAAAGCCTGTGTGAGATGTCTGCCGGGGCTTTCGGTGAAAATAAATAAACTAGCTGATATGAGAGCAAAAGCAATAACAGCCTTTGTGGCAAAAACAGCTCTTAATGAGTTGAATTTAGTGCTCGCACTAAGTTTTCTGTAAGTTGAAGAGCTGGGAAAATGAGTTGATTAATCCACTGGTTCTCAACCTTTGGGTCTGGACCCTCCCAAGGAGTCTCAAGATAAATCTGAGGGGTCACACAATAGTTAAAACGATTGTCTTTTAAAGAAAATAAACACAACTGTTTCACTTTTGCTCTTTTTCTTGCGAAACACAGAATATTTTTACCTCTTCTGGCCTCTAAAAATCCTCCAAATGAAACAATCTGAGAAGGAGAAACAAGGGCAAACAGCTAGCCTGTCCAAAGGTAACAAAATCAGCCTCTCAGCATGGCTAAAGCTCATTAATTAACATGTTATATCTTGTTTGTTTAATCTGCACAAAAATCAAAGTGTAAAAACTACAATTTGCCGCTTTACGGGGGGTCATATGTCAGACTATTTCTTGACCCAGTTGTCCGGCACAATATAATTTCATGTAAAGGTATCCTAATGTATTCCAAATGGCAATTTGTTTAATCTGCTATACCATCATAACGTATCTCAAAAAGAACCTTGCATGAATGTATGTACGGAGTTTGTTGTTGAGAGGTAAACTTTAGTAGACTTCAGGACATACTTCTCATTCTTGGAGTGCAGCATTGCCTGTCGCTCAACATGCCTTAATTTTCCCTTACAGTGTTCCCCTCCTGGGAGAGAAGGTGGAGGCTGGAGGGAGAGAGAGGGAGAAGGAGGGGTGTTTCGTGTCATGGGCCAGGGCTTTGAGCTGCCACCCCGCCAACCTCTGTTGCTCCGGGCCGTGAGAGCTCCGTGCCTCCTGGGACAAAGCCTGCCTTGATAAAGACCAATTCCACTGCTCAGGGCATGGAGAATGATCCTCATTACCACTACAGGTTAGGGGTTACATTCTTGTGGGATCGCCCAATAGGTGGCAATATCTCTGAAATATGTGCATTCACAAGTAGCAGTTTGTGTCATATCCAACAAGGTGGATGTTTTCCTTCTCCCACAAGTATAGGAACACATTTCATGACTCCAGTGACCTTCTTCAAGTGTCTGACAACCCGGTGCATAATGTAAAAACAAGGCCTTGTGTTGATTTCACTGTGTAGTATATAGCTTCGGACGTGGGTGACAGGATCAGCCTTGCTCCCTTTAAAGAAAATGATGTTATCAGGAGGCGATGAGGGAGGTGACACACAGTAATCCCTCTTTTTTAATGCATCTCCTGGTTAGGGCTTTAGCTGGGATGTGAGAGAACATAACACCTGCCCTCCTTGTTAAATCTGTTAAATCACCCGCTGGTTATTACAGCTGTGATGAAATCTTTTTCATCAGTGAAATTAACCATCATATGTGGGGGTTAAAAGATAATTCCAATCCAATTTAACTGAGGCGTAGGTTTCGGTTACTCTCATTTAGTGAAAAGAAATTCACTCTTAAAAGCCAGAGCTGGAGATTGCAATGATAACATATTCTGAGGGATGTTTGATGGAGACTCTAATGTGCTCCATCACTACCACAACTGGGCTACAGCCCCTCCGCAGGAAGTACTGTACCTCCCTAAACTACTCCCATACTACTGTATCAGCATCCTTACTGCAACAACACTGGATAAAAAAACCAAGCCAGGAAATAAAAAAGAGTGGATTCTGGAGGCTGGAAGCACAGTAGCTCATGTCCATCGATACATCTTTGCTGCTGACCAAGCAGCCACTCTGCAGCTGCAGCAGCAGCAGCAGCAGCAGCGGTTCGTCCTGCATACATCTACAGGCTTACCATCGTATTAACAAAATGCCTTTACTTGCTGTTTGCAAAGGCAGAAAACGACACACCTGTCATTTCTTATTCCTGCGTTGCATTCAGGTGCTGCGCTGTGGTAGAGAGAGATAAAAAAAAAAAAAAAACACACGCAGGCAATAACACTCAGTAGCCCCCTATTAAAATCAACACACTGCAACTGATACAAATAAGCCCAAAAAACAGAGATTAAACAGGCAACTCTCGCGATAAGCCTTTCGAGCAGACTTCGGTGTATCTGTGCGAGCAGAAACCTGAGAAATCGTTAATAGTATCTTACCGTTAGATTCGTGGAAGGAGAGCCTCCGCTGACTGTCAGATGAGGAGATGCTCTGGTGGAAGTGGGAATGATGCTGGACGGTTCAACCTCTGTTTCCATAGACAATGCTGCCCCCTGTCGGTTGTAGGTGGACCTGCTGCAGTTTTAAAACCGCTGGACGAGCCGTTTTTGTTTCCTGTGTTTATTTAATATTTAATTTATATGAACTGTCTTTAATAAAGTGCAAATGTCGTCACGTTTATATAAAATATTTACAAATATAGGTTGAGTTCCGAAAAATAGGACGATCGTCAAGTCAGACCAGATACAGCCACATTTCACTTCCGTTTCTTCAAAATAAAAGTCACCGTGAAGTGCAAGACAAGAGCAGCTATATTTAAGTACATTTACTCATGCACTGTTCTTAAGTACAACTTTGAGGTACTTTACTTGAGTATTTCCATTTTCTGGTAGGCCTATTTTATACTTCTACTCATTTTAGAGGGAAACATACTTTTTACTTCACTACATTTATTAAGTTTCTTTACAGTTTCAGATTAATAATACAAAATATAATCAACAAATGTATATACATATACAAATATGATGTATGATCGGTTTATTGATCACAGGGGAGATTCACAAGTTACCTAACAGTACTTCATACACCATCACTGACGGTGGGATTCATCAATAATGTGATAAATCCAACTGTAACTTCTGTGAGAATGAATTTAACTTTCTTCCAGTGTCCCTTTGGGATTTTATTCCATGTTCTTGCTTCAATTATACACCAATTCTTACCATGTTTTCATTCCTGTGTGTCTACGAAGGACAAATAACAGATAAGATAATATAAGATAAGATAAGATAAGATAATATTTAGAGCAGCTCAAGATACATGTCAACCGATATATAAGAAAATACACATTAAATAAAAATAAAATAGGAAAATACAATATATAATAGAAATAGAAAATAGGAGTTATATGTAAACTATATACACCTTTTATATACTGTAGCAGGTTATCAGCAAAACTGCAACTGGCTGTTTAGTTGTAGCTTAACTTGACTCTTCATCACGGCTAATCAGATATTATTTGCAGGATTCGCTTTCAACAAATTAATCCTTTGCTTTTACTTTGAAAGAGTCACTTTTGTTGATTCAGTCCAACTTGATGCAGCTCGACAAAATAAAAAAAACTACAAAGATGGCGTCTAAAACTGGCCTTAGGGGCCTAAATGAAATAGGTAACTTAACGTGAGCCTGACCTCTGGGATGTAAGTCTTTCTCGTTACATAATTTCAAAGAAGTCTCGGCACATTTATAAGTTTTATGTATCTGTTTGAAATAACAAGGGCGACCGTTAATCGGACGTTTTTTCCCGGAGGTTTTGACGTGGTGCCGGTGTTTCCCGGGCAACGTTAGCTGCCTCTGGGTCTTCAAGCAGGAAAAAGCGCCAACTTATGCTGCGCCGTGTGAATCGTCAAACACTCCGTAAATGTCTCTCACACCGGATTTTTCCATCAAATATATTAAACTTCAGTTCGGAATGACTCTTTCAGGTAAGAGTTTAGACACTGTGTGGATTTACGATGGTTGTTTTTCTCTTAGTGAACTGTTACAAACGGCGTGTTGCCTGTTTTCGCCTCCCCACTTCTTCGCCGCACCGTTTTGACCCAGTTTTTGTGGCGATGTGTGTCCGTAAACCGCTCACCGACACCACTTTATTTATCATTACTCGAGTAATTCTTCTTCCCTACCGCCATTAAAACAACGGTTGCTAATGTAAAACGGTTCTTTGTCAAAAGTTGAGCGGGACAATGAAAACAACCCGTAAGTTAGCGTTAGCCAGCTAACATGTTACATAATGCGTTGTGCAGCCGGTAACCGGGTTGGGTTTAAGAAACCAGAGCGGTTCGTGTTGATTTAATGTTTGTAGTTTGGTTGTAGTTACATAACTGCGCAGTAATAACTTAGTGCGTAGTTACTTTCGTTCTCCTTCGACTCTGATGGCGCCTTCTGAAATTAAACTGTGTTTCCATTTCTTGCCAGTGGGGTGCGCTGTTGCATCTTAGTAGGAACAAAAAAAAAGAGAGAGGTTTAAAAAGAAAAAACATCGCCCTCAAGGTACCAGAGTAAAAGATGCCAGGCCTGCAGGGTGAAAACGTTGTGGCGGCGCTGGGGAGCCCCATCAAGAAGAGTAAACTGTCTCTGAAGTTCCTCCAGAAGAAGGAAACTAAACGAGCTCTGGATTTCTCTGAACCTCAAGCAGATGAACCCAAAGCGGCTGAAGCAGTGGAGCCTGAGGCCAGGTGGGTCTGTGCTGTCGGGTTGTGATTTATTTTGGGGTTATACCAAGTTCAAAAACGCTGATTTATTGCCCGGGCCTTGTTGATGAATGGTGGCCCGGCTGGGAAGAAGTATCTGACAGCATAACAAGTCATTCTCACACATTTTACACAGTTTAAATCATCATCAATCAAACCTCAATTTACTAGTTCAGTATTGTAGTTGATCAGATATTAGTCAATTGTGTTGTGAGGATACAATCGTATGTTATTGTGTTATAAATTTCAGCTTTCAAAATGTATGATTTTGACCACACTCTAATGGGGCTGCGCAATTAATCGAAACATTATCGAAATTTTAAGCTGCTGTTGTTTGATAAAGGTAAAATGTGTGACAGCAGCTTTATAATTCAGTACTGTAGCTCTGAAAAGATGCCCTGGCCTACAAATCTTGTTCTACGGATGTAAGAAAATGTGTTTCTTTGGTACTACAGATGTCACATCATCATGATTTTAGTATGTTTTTTTCGTCGAAAAATGGAAATTGTGATGCAAAAATGATAATTCCCATTAATTTTGAATCATTTTTCAATCACAATATGATTATTTTTTTGCATATTGTGCAGCCATAGTTTTATACATGTTAAGAATTTGGTTTCATGTAATGTACAAAAGTGGTGGATGATGTTTGCAACCATATTCTCTTCGCTCTAGTGAAACAGCAACAATCAAGGAAGTAACTCGTAGGTGATGACAGTTTTCTCTTTTTAATTTGAAACTCTGTTTTCTTCTCCACTGTTCAGCAGCTGTGATCAGGTGGTCCCTGGTCCTTCTCCATGCCCAGCCTCACCCGGCCTTCTGCCCTGTGAGAAGAGGGAGAACTTGGTGCCATTCGTGGGGCTCAACAACTTGGGCAACACCTGCTATTTGAACAGCGTCTTACAGGTGGGTGATCATCAGAGATCAAATGGATCTTTAATGGCAGTTTGGCTACAACATGCATGTACCGTGTGTGTACAGCAGATGCATGTATAGGAAGGTTTGGGCTTCTCAAAGTATGTGTAGTTATTTGACTTAAAATAATTATAACTAATACTTAACTAATCAGAAAGAAACATGGACACGGGCCCTTTTCAAACACAAATTATTGTTATGGTTGCCTATCTCATGAAATTCAGTTTCTATATCAAAGCATGAACATTGTAAGTTAATAAATTAAGATCCACATATTCCTTCGTCATCGATTTAACTTTGTTTTTTCAGTGTGTGTCATATAATAGTCATAACATATAAAGCCTTGATACAGGTCTTTGTTCTGCATAATTATAAAGCTGCTTAACAGGAAATAAAGTCTGTAGGAAACAATTACTCTGCCTTACCCTGCAAGGCTATTATTAAACGTGGACATGGTAGACATAAACACTGCAGTGTTTGGCACAGTGTACAGAACAGTGTCTCCTGTGGTTGATGTAGAACAGATAAGACCTGTAGATAAGTGGTTGGTCCACAACATTCGCCTGACTGACGTACTGTGTGCTTACATCTGATCCTCTCACTGTAGCTTATTTGTATTGGCAGTGTTTGGATATAAAGAGACAGACAGGCACTGGAGGATGTATCTCACAGTCAGGCTCTTGTATGATCTCACCTGCAACACCTGTTCAAATGGTGTCTGTGCCTGTGGGGTTGTATTTCATCTCCTTAGAATAAGTAAGACCTTCCCTTGTAGAGGAAAGAACATAGACTATGTGTAAGGACAACTCTTCCTTTAGGCCACTGGTAAGACAGTAAGGCAACCCCTGATGCAGTCTGCAGTGTTGTATTACTTTGCTACTTGTATTATTATCGTGTACTGTTACTGCAATGATGCTGTACAGGCTATTGGCAGTCTGAAAAGGCTTTAAGTAGTGACTCAAGTTTCCTCATAAAAGAATATAGAAGGCATTAAAGTATTAGATTTCCCCTACAAAGATCTAAAACAACTATTCTAGGCTATAGTAGGCAGTAACATTACTTAGCAAATGTTTTTGTGTGTGATTTGAGCAAATATTGTCTACTTATCCAGGTTCAGGTCAATAAATGTATGTGCTTGGTTAATAATTAAAAGTCTTATCACAGAATCACACAATTGCCTCCAATAAAAATGACTTCAAAGTTTAACTTGGAGAATCTTGCAGAAACCCTGTTGTCATTGTTTTCACCCAGTGACTAACGTTGTTGATGTCTCATTGCTCCTGCAGGTGTTGTACTACTGCCCAGGGCTCAGAGAAGGCATAAAGACACTATACAATCTATCCAAAAGAAAAGACAAATCAAAGGAAGAAACTGATAAAAGCGAAGAGGTTGGTGCAATACAAATTACATTTTTATTTTTTACATAATTAACATTTGCAAACAATTGTATAATATAGTGTAATGAAGTCTCTCCGTTGTGTCCAGACCATCTAAGCTTATATGATACTAATATGGAACTACAAACATACATTTTAATAATGTTTTGTATTTTATTTCTGTCTCAGCAGTCAGAAGTTGCAGCTGAGGCTCTGCCACCTCAAATTGAGCTCCTTGGGAGCTTCAACAGTCTGATAACATCAGTGGAGCAGCTGCAGTCCGACTTCTTGCTGAACCCTGACAGCTTCAGTGAAGGAGAACTTGCCACACCACCTCGCAAAATCCTCCACACACTGCGGTAATGATGTGGTAATTTCTAATCATAGGTTGTAACCAAATAGCTGTCCAGTTTCCAAACATTCAAATTGTACGCTAGCTCATTTCAGCCCAAATTAATGACAACTGCACTTCTTCTGGTACAGAAAAATCAAACAAGTTGTTGGTGCATGATGTAAAATGACACAAGTAGATCCTCTCCCCCTTTCTTGTCTTTCTTCAGCTGTTGACTGTTTTTTTAAGTTGTCAAGTTCAAAATGATAACTACATTTTTCATATTCATATTTACTTTAAAGCAACAGTTACAAAAGCCAAAGAAAAGCAGCACATGTTCAAATTTTTAAAGCTGTAATAGCAAATGTTATTTTTTTTTTTTTCTTGAGTAATCAACTTAATTATTTAACAACTCATAAATCATTAAGATTGTCATTTATTTTTTTCTCAAGTGAACTAATTGTGACAGCTCTTTGTGTGTTACAGGCAGCTGAACCCCATGTATGAAGGCTATCTTCAGCATGATGCTCAGGAGGTGCTGCAGTGCATCCTGGGATATATCCAAGAAGCCTGTGAGACCATCAGGAAGGAGCAGGAGTCGACGAGAAAGGACGACGACGCGGCTGAGGTTAAAATTGAGAATGGTGTCCATTTGGGTTCCAGCAGCTCCACAGCAGAATCTCAAACTCCCACAGAAGAGGACGGCCAAGTCAGCGGCAAGAGAAAGAGTGACACTGAAGTGGGAAATGCCAAAAAGAAGCCAAAATCGGTGAAGTCTAAGAAATCTGATGCAGAGGAAGACAGTATCAGTAGAAATAAACCCTTCACTCGGTCCAAAAGGAGGTCTTCTAGTGACATCACAATAGACAGCACCCAAAACAAAGACAAAGAGGGGAAGGCAGAAGATGAAGGGATGAAGAAACCGAATAAGGAGGAGGAAGGCGGGAGTGACGGTGAGGGGAAAGGTGAAAAGGCATCTAAAGAGGCAGATGGGAAAAAGAAGAAGAAAGCCAAGCTCAGCTGGCTGAGGCCTTCTGGGAAACAACCGAGTATTTTCTCCAAGTTCCGCAGTGTGGGGAAGATCAGCTGCACGACTGTGAAGAACCAAATCAAACCAGAGCCAGAGAACGAGAACGGGCTGACGGACGATCAGAGTCAGAATGAGCAGACCAGTGAGGAGAAATCCCCGCAAAACGTGGCTGAAGACAAGACGGCAGTGAAACCTCAAGGTAGGAGATTATTACTAGAAGAAGAAGAATGGGACATACACAGAGAGAAAGCAAGATAACTTATATTGATTTAATATGAGCGATCGAGGTGAGGGATCCCCTATGTAGAATTGATAAATATCGAAATACTGACCTTTCTGGCAGGTTGGTAACTGAGAATTAAGAGAGTTAAGACGTCACACGTCTCATTGAAGATGAAGCTGCTGGATTAAGCCAAGTTATTATATCATGATTATGTATAGATTACCCACAGAGTACGTTCTCTAATGTCAATTTTAATCTTGAATATTTATTTTCTTAACTCTTGCAGGTAACTTGTGTTTCATAAAAACATTTAAATACATTAAATTAAGAACGTGCATATAGACTAGCCTTTATTACGTGTTCTGAGTTGAAACCATGCTTTCCATCCTGACCGTCTGCATTTGGTTCGATTTGTGTCACAAATGGTGGTGTAAGCCCTCTGCAACTTCCATGAGTTGCAGTTTTAGACTTTCACAGTCTGTCAGTTAATTGGTTTACTTTGATTAGGTGAGCTGAGTAAACTGACTCTTAAGATCCCTCAGTGTTAATACCACAAACGGGAGATATAACAACTGTTCAACCCTGTATATGATAATGACGGTGAGAATAAACAACCCTATGTTATTCTATTGAAAGTATTAAATTAACGTGTGTGTGTGTGTGTGTGTGTGTATGTGTATACACATACACATACACACACACAGAGTAGTCCTCCTTACAATTTTCTCCATTTAGGTAGCCATCACTCTCCAAAAGATGGGAGCCTGAAATGGCCTTTCAAAGGGTTGTAGGGTTTCTGTCTTAATGGGTCATTTTATTGTAAAAGCAGCCTTCAAGCTATTGGAATAGAGACTGAATTTAACCTCTGCTCTGGGAAATCAGACAGCATCAGTGCTTCATATGTGACTTCAGACATGAAATATGACAGATCACTTAGGTATGTCTCTCTGTGTCTCCGTTATATTCAGATGGACTGGATCTGATGGAGCGCCTGTTCCAGGGCCAACTGGTTCTGAGGACTCGCTGTCTGGAGTGTGAGAGCTTCACAGAGAGGAGAGAAGACTTCCAGGACATCAGTGTCCCAGTGCTCGATGACCAACCCAGCAGCCCGGACGACCTCTCTGAGGGTGAGCATTTCTACAACAACTCACCCGCACCCTGCACCCGCTCAAATAATAAGTCAATAAGTTGATTGAAAGCATGCAAAACAAGCAATTTACATAATGTAGTATCACATAGAATCATTTAAAATAACTGCAAAGTGAAAACATACACATGAAAATCCTGAAAAATGTTTTTTATTACAATGTCCCCCTCTGCAAAATACATTTGAAAGGCAGTCTTATCCTGCAAATCCAGAAAAAAAGGTCTTCTGTAAATTAAAATGACATAAAAACATATAAAAATACCATGTAATGAACATACACCCTTCCTCTTTTCTTCCATACCACAATGTAGACAAAATAACTATTTATTCAATAACTGATATTTTCTCTCTCTGCACAGTTTCTCCTGATCCTAAACCAGAGCTGAAGACTCTGACGTGGGCCATCGGCCAGTTTGCTTCAGTGGAGCGGATCGTTGGGGAGGACAAATACTTCTGTGAGACCTGTCATCATTACGCAGAGGCTGAGAGGAGTCTGCTGTTCGACAAAACGCCTGAAGTCATCACCATTCACCTGAAGCGCTTCTCTGCCAACGGCTTAGAGTGAGTTGATGAATTGTCAACACATTTACTGTCAGTTTTATGTTTATTTCAGTGTTCTGTCCTGCAGTGCTCTTATGCTGGCGTATTTGTATATAGAGTATAGATGTATTTGTCACTGTGAATGTGAAATCGGATGAATGATTTTAGAGTTGATCTGCTATCCTCATTTCTTTTAAGGATGCAAAAGGCTCATAATGTTTGATTTTTCTCTCAGAAATACACATTTAGTTGTTAATGGGAGCAAATGAGTTCAAATAGATTTTTATTCTGTTTGCAGTCCACTGCTGTTCAGAGAATACAAGGTCTTTTGACAACTTAGAATATGCTTCCACTAATGAAGGTGAAGAGGAAAACAACTTATCAGACTAATTTAAAAAAATGTTATTGGTATTACACAGGAATAGAACAGGGAAAGTCTCACCTAAATTCAGCGCTGTCCTCTTGATTGGTGACACGATCATGATAAACATGCTGTAACATCCCATTCACTCCTCTCCATTTCTTTTCCTCCTAGATTGGACCCGTATGCCGGTCTGTCCAAAGTGAACACTCCCTTGCAGACGCCTTTGACCTTGTCCCTGGAGGAGTGGTGCACCCGGCCCTCGTCTGCAAAGGCTCAGCGCTATCAGCTGTTTGCTGTGGTCATGCACAGCGGCATCACTATCAGCAGCGGCCACTACACCGCCTACGTCCGCGTGTCTGAGCTGAAAGATGTGAAGCTCTGGCTGCAGGACAGAAAAGAAACGGAGGAGGAGGAGAGTAAAGAGGGAACGCGGGTGAAAGACGAAGTGTTGGACTATGATGATGGAGAGGTGTCGTTCAGCCTGCACGCAAGGAGAAGTGCGAGTTTGGCTAGCAACAAAACGGGAGGCAAGAAGCTGTCAGAGGGTGGGGTTGGACTCTTGGGGGGCCAGAGGAGTTTGTCCAGTTACGACCTCGGGAACAGCAGCAGCAAACACACAGAGAAAGCAGCCAGCAGTGGAGCCACAGAGGGATCCAAACGGAGGAAAACCATCAACAGTCAGGGCCAAAATTCTGAAGCAGGACTCAAAAAGGAGCCTGGGGTAGGAGAGGAGGCATCCATGACTTCCTGCGGCGGAGTGGAGGCCACAGAGCAGCAGGCTTTGAACAACCTCCTTGAATATGAGGGCAAATGGCTGCTGTTTGATGACTCTGAGGTGCGTTTGTTTGAGGAGGAGGATTTCCTGCGAGCCTGCTCTCCCGAGACATGCTCCTCATCGACACCGTACCTGCTGTTCTACAGAAGGATGCCTGAACCAGGACACTAACACGAACACAAGGACCGCCAGTCAGGCGTTCTGGCAGCTGAACACTCAGACAGTTGTATTTTGTAATACTACGAACTGTGCCAAAAATACTGTGGCTGCCTGAACTGAAGATACTTCTCAGCCCAAAAACCCACTGAAACAGTCTGGTCTCACTGCGGGACCAAAGCTGTTTAGACCCACTCATGAACTTGTATGCCGGGACAGACAAATGGGGATTTGTCTATGTGCCAGGGATGACTTCTTTTTTTTTTTTTTGGATGTGATTCTCGCCTCTGTAAACTGAGTACAGTGGCTTCTCTTTTTGCTGTGTGTACTATTATTTCTTGGACACTGGCTTTGATAAGTTTTCTGTCATTTTCTTTAACATGTTTTTATTTTCTTGTTTGTTTTTTTTTAAAAATTGGAAAAGCACTTTTGAACTAAAAATTTAAATAAGTGAAAATGCTAAATGTTGGAAAATGTCTTTTTTCTAGCTAATTTACTTATTTACTTATATAATCCATTAATTTGCATTTACAGGAGAAGATGATGGTGCTGAGTATATTTTAAATAGATTACTCCACAAAAAAAAGCCAAATAAAACACAAAGTCCTTTCAAGTAATGCAGAATATGCTTCATGAGGTTAGAGAGAATACGCTGAAGAGTTTTTCTGCAATATTTTCTTTGAGAAGTTCGGCAAAGGCTTCACTTCTAAAGTTTTGCACTAATTCCTGGTCCTCAAGATTTTACATACATTTTTTTTTTTTAAATATAAATTTGAAGCCTGAAATTGATGCTGATATGCTTATATTTTTGCATAAAACACACTAAACTGTCAAGCCTCCAGTGTATATACCAAGCTTGGTTTTGTTAATACACAACAGTTTATGCAGGCTGCTGACTTTCTTACTCAGCCCACACATCGCAAGCTTCAAGGTGCCAATTCAGAGTGAAGATGTGTGAAACTTAAACCCTTAATATATTTATGTCTTCAGGTTCTAAGATGTTTATCAAGGTTATAAACTGCCTCTTCAGCTTCCATATCTAATTCAGTTTGTAGCTAATCATTTGCATATTTATGGAAATCCAGATTTGTTATTTACAGGGTTAGTTTCTTACTTGAACATGTTCCGTACTTCTGAGTCTGTCCCTGTGGATACTCAAATAATGACTCCTATTGGTCAAGCATTGCATTTGTTTTGTGTGTGTTCAGCGTATTTTTTGTTGTTGTTGTAATTAATAACATAACATAGCTTTTCAGGTTTAAAAATGTGGTCATAAGGTATTACAGGTATCTAGTTGCAAATATTCAGTAAAGATGACATTATTCATCTCAGGTTCAGCAGAGTTTATAAGACCAATCATGGTTTCAGGGATTAAATCAGATATTTAGCTGTAGCTTCATGAATAATAACCATTATGGGCCATATTCAGTCATAAGTACCTGGGAAAGGTTTCCAAAGCAAGTTTTGGAATTTAATGTAATGTGACAGCAGCCCCAGTGCATGTGTTGTCTCCTTTAAACTGTACCTCATTCCAGCTGTAATTATATTAATGTTGGCAGGTTCTTACTATCAGCAATAAAGTTTTTACCTTCACATGTCCTCACTCAACGACCTTTTTGTTGCCAGACATTACGGCGATATTCTTAGATCCTACTGATGTGATGTCTCCAATGTAACATTAATCCTACATACACACAAACATAGAAGAAAATGGCAGCATACACCAGCTGAACATTAAAATATTTATTTAGTAAAATATTTAAAATAAACAAAACAAAACTACATAAAATTATACAAGGATGTTTGAAGTACCTAACTTTAAAACATTCTTTCAACTAAAAATGATAATAAAGCATCATGATAAATAATGGTACCATTTTTTGCATGTTTTCATTTTTTTTCTCCCCCCCTCCATTTTGAATTACATAAATTTTCAAGTTGTAAAATGCATTGCTACACTGTAATAAAAAAAGTGCACACATGAAATTGAATACAGATTTTTGACACATAAGTACATAATTAAATAGACACCTTGACTTTTAAAATTGTACCTTTTCTGCTAAAAAATAAAAATAAAAATGGTTTTGGCACTATAAGTAACTAATAAAGGGATCACAGAGCATTCTTGGTTTTCAGTGGCTTCTTTGTTTACATCCAGCAGATTCTGTTGGTTTCAGAACTGAAGGCTAACATTATTAGCTTTTTTTTAAAAATGGTTGCGTAGGGACAAATATAAAGACATGTCCCCCTGTGTGGCAAAAGGCCAGCAAAGAAAAATTCTAAATGTCAAGGTATCTCTTTAATCTTTAAGATCCACTTGTTCGTCCCTCTGATTGTGTAACAGTTTGTCTGTAAACAACTTAAGACACTGGAATGACGTACCAAGCTGCAACAAGTTTAGCCTTTCTTTTAGCACACTCTCCAAAACACTGACCAACTTTGGAGACACTCCTATTTACACTCGAGAATAAATTAATATTGCAATTTCTGTGTGTGTGTGTGTGTGTGTGTGTGTGTGTGTGTAGTCTCTTCATCTTCAAATGTCAAGCTTGCGAAGACTCATTCTGCTGAAGGAATCTCTGGAAATCAGAAAAAAGAAAAAAAGTTTTGATTTACAAAGACAGATTTTTTTGAAACTGAATTAAACGGGGGATTTAAGTGCCTTCAGACCCAATGATTTGGGGTTTATGTAGCTTATCTGCCATTTTAATTCTCACTTTTGCTAGCCAGATGTCTTTTTACAAGACTGTAAGGCTGGGAGGACTTAAATGTCCAGCAGCCAAGTACTATTTTCATCCATATCTGTGAAAACCAAACTTTAAAATCCACACATGCTATACGACCGATGTAAATGACAAATGTAGGGTTCCCATTGTGATCCTGATTAAAACGTCGAGGATTTTTACATGATATGCCATGTTAGGTTGCATACACACACAGACTGGCTGTTATACATTTATAAATGTACTGTATTGCTTTCTATAATATTTATTTTCTGCAATACAGCTCTAAAAACTGCCCTTATTTAGCAGAAAATCAGTGACCAGTGGGAACCGTACATAAGATATCAAACACGGGACAGACTCAAAACAGCATCACAAAATGTGGTCTGAAAGTCACAAACTACCTTGTCAAGCTGTCCGTTTGCTGCAGGATTTTTACAGAAGCAAAAAAAATGTAATTCAACATCCAAAACATGTCATCTACACTCACACACTTCCTTCTCTCTCTCACTTTAACACACACACACACACACACACACACACACGCGCACACACACAGAAACAGTGCCGCTCTTCAGTCCTACCTGTGTGAGTTGACCTGCAGCACAGGTTTATAAAGCTGAGGGATCTTTCTGTTGATGAGGGGCTGCAGCGCCTCCTTCAGCCGGTGATAATTCCTCTCCAGCTCCCTCTGGTACTCCTTCTGGTCTGGACCAATCAGGCTCTTATTCTTACGCAGGGCATCTTCACACCTTTGGCAGAGAAGTCAGTCAAATACTGGCGTGTATATTCTATACTACTCTTTTTTTTTTTTTTATAGGAGCAGCAGTTAGATACCAAAAACCTTCTTGTGTCTCCCAAATGTCCAACATATTGTATCGGTTCACAGGTACGTGATTCATCATCCACAATCCATACCTCTTTGTGAAGTCTTTGAAGCAGAGCCGTAGCTTATTGTGGTGTCTGTATAGCTTTGGGTCACTGGGAATCTCTGACAAGAACACTTGAGCCACCTCCAAAGGACCCTGAGGAAAGCATATAATCATTATTCATCTACAGCTTTACTTATTTATTACATTACATTAATGTAGCTAATGATTTTATCCAGAGCAACTTCCACTGAGTGCATTTAACCATGTGGATGTAACCCAACCATTGCAAGAATCACGCAAAGTACATCAAACTTCATCAAATGTGCTGAATTGCTACACTTAGAACAATAATAGAACAAGAGATCCAGAAAAAGGTGTTTTATCCCAACGTACCGATGCTAATAGAGAGGTCAGAGTTGTATTTCTATCAAATCAAATATCAATAATATTATATATAATATATATATATATATAATATAATACCTGTCATCTTAAAACTTTACCTGGTTGACAGTTGTGCCTACTGATCCCTGTAGGACCATCTGCAGCATCTTTGCATCAGCAGGGTCCTGGTGGGTGGCGAAGGCCAGCTCCTGAGTCTTCTTCTGCATGTCCTCTATCGCCACCTCGATGGGTGTGGATATAATCTTAGAAGTGACGTAGAGACAGGCGGTTTTAGTGATCAAGGTGCACAGGTAGTTTGACAAAACAGCTCCCTTTTATTACCACCTTATCTCCAGAAAATAAGCCACTGTATGTTGTTTTGCAACAATAATAAAATCTTTAGTAATGGAGAAACATAACCAGTGACATAAAAAAGGTTTCTGCAGGACAGTTGATTTCTGCTGATTCAACTGTTTGCAAACTGTTAACCCACCTCCTCTTTGTGGATGATGTTGATGCGTGTCTTAATGTAAGGGAAAGCATGGGAGGTGGTGAGGATGGTCTTGCGTTTGAACTGTTCGTGCAGGTCCCCGTGGGCCCGTCCATCCAGAGTGAAGGGCGTGCAGTAGACAAAACGCCGCAAGTTGTAGTTCTTGTCAAAGTAGGTGATGCGGTCCTTCATCTCGTACGTGTCGAAGTACGGCTCCACATATGTGATCTGGACGAAGGCCTGCAGAAATACAGAATAAATCATGGTCAGGACTGGTCAGACTAAAAGCTTGAATAAAATCACTCTAAACTGATCCATTTCCATCCACTTATCCAACGATGTGGGAACATTCTGCCCAACACAGACCTTATTTGGGTCCAACTTGCACTTGTCCACTGGGTTGGAGTCCTTAATGACTTCTACCTGGTCCTCTCCAAATCGTTCCCCATAGAAACCCTGAGAATAAACACAGAACTCATTAGTACTTAGCACACATAGCAAAGAGAAAACCATGCTATTACAGGAAAGTCTAGAGCCTACATGGTGGTATTTACCTCTAGCCTGTGAGAGATTTCCGCCAGCTTCGTGATGGCAGGCTCTTTGTACACAAACTCCTGCTCGTCTAAGTCGCCAAATTTTGAACCGTAAAATCCGACTCTGAAGTACGTACCAAACATCCTCTTTCCAACCTGCCAGGAGAGGAAGATGAATGTTAGTGCTGAGGAGGAATGTTTATTAAATTCATATAAGAGCGTGTTCATTTCTGATCCAAACTTCAAACTCAAAAGGATAGATCATCGTCCAAATCAGACATCAGAGATTCAGTGCAAACCCTAAAATCTCACAATAATGCTTTTCTTCCCTTTTTGCTATATCCTCTAATGGTTAGTGGCAGACTTCAGCTCCAGTGTAGTTCACAGGAAGTATAGGAAGGAAGAAAAGGTTGTAGTTCATTCACACATATGACAGCTAAATTAATGCAAGTTTCCTCATCTGCACGGCCATCTGTGGGCACATCGTCAACTCTGTTTCAGTCTATACAACTGCTTATAAGTGGTTTGAAATAAAATGTCTGTACAAGCCAGTGTCGGAGGAGATCATCAACCTCCAGATTACCATCCACACGTTTACTCAATGGTAACCACAGTCCCACATGTTTGCATCCATTGTAGAAGTTTCACTTTTTATGAGCTTGTCCTACACCTTTTCCACCTCTACAAAATACCCAGAGGACGGACAAGTGCAGTGCTTGACAACAAGAACAAGAAACAACAACTTCCTTTAAAATGCTCAGCAGAATATTCATGTCATGAACAAGTACAGTAAGTATAATGAGTATATTATTCAATGAATTCTAATTTGTAAAACTTAAACTCTGACTTTTTCTTTATGCCCACAATTAATGCACATATTTTCTGTCTATGTTTTGCCCTTTTTGAGAAAAACAGGCCAAGCTCATAGATCAAAGCCTTAGATCACATAAATTAGCCATGAGCCAAGAGTCATGATCAGAGAAAGAGAACAAAAGAAACCATGAGAAAAGAGTTTCTGCAGAATAAAAATGGCCATAACTACTTTAAACAGATGCATGAACCCAATCACCCTGCGATATCTTAGGAAGTATAAGTGTTCAGTGACAAGAAAATGGCCACCAAATCCAGAAACTTGTTCTGCACAGACCATCCAGAAAGCAACTTAACATTAAAGAACTTACTTCAGTCAGAAAGCACAGAAGGTCTGACGCAGGTGTATGTGAGTGAGTAGGTGTGTATGTGTGTGTATAACATGAGAAAGGGAGACGCTGTGGGTAAGTTGCATAGGTTGGCATCTGACTTCTAGTAAGAGATTATTAAATAAACCCTCTCGTTAACTACAAGTTTATAGCAAATTTTAACTCCTGAAACTACTGATTCAAAAAGAAATGTAAGCAGAAATTTAAGAGGCCCTGAAAACTAATGAAACTTACCACAAGACACAATTAAGTAAAGTGGGAAGGAAGGGTCGGCAACCAGGGAAATCAAAAAGGAGAAAACAGAACAAATTTTAATGAGGATTGGATTCCTCCAGAGAATTACAAAAACAACACAAACTAACACACAATAGCAAAAATATCTCCATTGATTT